TGCTAAGTGCTTGTGGAATTTTCTGAGGACTGCAGCTTGGCAATACAGTGTTTTAAGCTTTAAAAATGTTCAATTGTCAAATAATGTGTTGTTCGTGTGCTATAGAACTGCATATAAAAGCCATGTACAAATACAAAAACAGTGTTTACTGATTTATTTGACTTAGATGTCAATGGAATAGAGCAGTGGTATTAAAACATGCTGGGCTATTAAACTTTATGTCATACTTTCTAATAAAAGCAACCAGAAAGACACTGAAGGAAAGTGGAAACAGAAACACGAGATTAAAAAATGAAGTACTGAACAGTACACAGAAAAGATTTAATAATAATTTCACATAACATTTGAAGCTGGGTTTTTTTTCCTACAGAGGCATCAATTTTTTTTACTTTAATAATTATATAGAAAGTCTCTGTGGAGGACTGAAAAGACTTGTCTGGACATGTTCAAAACAAGATCTGATTCAATCAAGTGTCGTGTGAAAGCTGAAAGCAGGTAATAAAACACTTCATAATCATGAACCACATTCCCACTTTTACAGTGAGATCAGGTGCGAGATTTGATTGTTGCTGACTTGAAACACTTTTGTAATCTGCTAAAAACAACGGATGGCTCCAAAATACAAGACGACTGGCTTCTTAACCATGATGCTTGTTTGGTTAAGTTCAAAAAAGTTCCCACATTCCTCTCATGTTCTTGCAATTTAACCATTTGGAAATAACTACGTAGCTACAGTTATGTAGTGCAAGCATTCATTGCATCTTAATTACGTCCTATTATCTGACACACAAACACCGTCTCTGTTTAGATTTTTTCTTCCTTTAAACATTGTTCTACACAGACCAGCGTTCAAAGGTTAAACGAGGCAAAACTAAATTTAAATTTGAATGAGCGGTAAACAGGTCTACGTTGGGTTGGCTCGTTTGTGGGGAGACGCTTTGTCTCCAGCTCTCACTGTGATAAAACCTGCTCAACATCCAGAAAAATGCAAACTGAGATTACTTTGCAGATAACACAGTCAGCAAAGTGCCACCTTTATTAAAGGTCATTACTGTGCTTTGTTTATATAATTTAAAAAAGTAATTTTGAAGTCAGAGTAAACCCCAACCTTGTAAATAAAACATATGCTACTGTCTTGTTATTTTCTATAGAATATAAAGTTCAGCTAACATTAACAATGTATCATTTCTCTCAAAGTCTCCATGTGTTGGAGCTTTTAGAGGCTTTAAGGCTGTAATGCCTGGACTGTGTGAGAAAACAGGCTGCACAGGAACCAGCAGGGACAGAACGACTCCCTGGGGGGGAATCCTCTTTCACTACTTCCCCTGAACACGAAACACCATTTCTTTATAAACGTAACAAATGGATCACAATTGGTTGATTTAAAAAAAAATGCTGTGTGACTGGATGAATAAAAAACTGATGAAGACTGACTTTTGGTTAAATAAATTACATCACCCAATTACTTCCTGTCCCAAAAAAAAAAAAAAAAAGACCACCAGTGGGTTAAAGAACGTTTGTGTTAATTTGACTACACGTTCTGTACAGCATAAGGCTTTCTAAAATGGATTAATGATGCCTGTGACGGTTATCCAAACAAAGAACACCACTTGCAAAGGCGAACACAGTGGTGACTCTTTAATAAGAGTGAGACGTCTGCACAACGTCTGTCCACACTCCTGTTTAGGAAGTTTCTGTTTTAGCCAGATAAGGATCATGGGCCATCATCGCCCACACCTAGCTATCATCTCTAAAGATGAGGTTGGTTGAAGCATCTAGCAGTCAGGTCACCCATGGACACAATCCTGTTATTCTCCCTGACATATACTTGTCCAAAGAGGAAAGAACATTTAGCACACGTCTGCCACTTTAATGACCATCTAATTGCCTTCTTTGCACACCGATGCAACCTAAGATGAAATACAGACATGCCACTTGCTACCACTTTAACTGTTCACATGGTATAACAGAGAAAAAATATAGGTAATTGTATCTAATCATTCAGATTTAACTTTTAAAAAGGGAAGTAATGTTCTTTCCAAAACAACTTCACGTCTTTTTTGTACATTTGTCAAATGGCACTTGACTATCTTTATGTATAACTGGCACAAACATGTGACAATACACAAAATGTGTGTCAAACGATACTCGACTACCGTAGTAACGTCATTATTTTTATGCATGGCGCCACCTTGTCACACTTTTTTTTGTGTGAACAAATAAAAGTTTGTGCAACGAAACCGCTACGATAACTCAGAATTCAACACCAGCTTCATGCATCAATAATACATGAATAAACTGTGTGAATAGAAAGTTGACGAATAATAAAATTATAGCGCAACGTGGAGTCACTTGGAGCAATCCGAAAGGGACCGTTCCATGGACTGCCGTTTGAATTTTTACATAATGTTGCTTGGATGAAAACACAAAACACACACAAGCAGCTGGAGTTCCTTGTGCTAAGAAGTGGCCGAACAGGTTCATAGTTGTGAAAGCGTTTAGCCGATAGATAACAACTAGACAAGCAGCTGAAATGATGACTTGTTGCCTAATACACGTAATGCATTTGACATTTCTAGACACATGATTTTACTATTGGGTTTGTCAGCATGCAAGTTTAAAAACCCCATGGAGTATCAGTGTCTTGGACTGTTAAGGATTTGGAACAGAGCCATCCAGTCAGACAGTGGTTGTGCAAGTTTACATGTCTGGGATGCCTTGTTACTTCTTGGCAGTCCTACACGCCACATCTCCAAAGTGTAAAAATGGAGGGTGGAAAAAAAATAATGGTTTGCATTTGGTAAATGAGCCCGTCTTAGCTCAAATACAACAGTATCTTGAAAAACAAACAAACAATGGTTTCAACATTTTTTTTTTATTTTTTATGTAAGGTAATTTAAAAAACTGTTCCTTATGAAGTCATTGGGGTCAAACCACATTTTAGTCTCGAAAGCAAGCCACATTCAAAAAATACATTGTCATTAGAAAAGCACATCTTTGCCTCGAGGTAAGCGGTCCAGCACATGACATATGGCATACCAATCACCCAACCAGCTGAAAGATCAGAGCTTGTGTTGAAGGAAAAGTGCTTCAGGATCTCTATGACCCCTAAACAAAAAAAACAAGTGTTTTAGTTCAAAATAATCAAAGCCCTTTCACTGGCAATAAACACCTACTTGAATCACTTGATCTCTTTTTAGCAATGCAAGTGATTACCACAAGAACCATCACCGTCCTAGCAGAAGCAAAGGGTGTGGGTTGAAGGTCTCCCACTGAGACGTTTTGTGTCACACACATACAGCAACTCTGCAAACACCAGTGTTTGACATTGGTGTGAATGGTCAACAACACTGATTTAGACATGCGCTTTATTTCTGTCCCAGGCTGCAAGGATTACACGAGCATTCGTCAGTAAAACACGACCATAACGAGACTTAATTTACCTTTTATTCTGAGGCTCACTTACCACACTATTTGCTTTTCTTGACAACAAGCTAAATTGTCACAAGACGTCATAATTATCACTATATATGAAAAAAAAAAAAAAAACCTGATGAGTACCGCTGGATCTGTATTTGTTTATTTTGTGTCTCTGACTCGCTCTTTGCAAGCTGATTGCAGTCTACACCCTTAGAAAGCACCCAAAAGGGTATTTGCTAAGTCAAACCTCAAACAGGGAAGATTTCAGAGCTGGTTCTAAAAGCTTGAAGCTAAACCAAGCGCAAAGACAAAAACCTCTTCTGGTTTACTGTAAACACGACAACCTGGTATTTAGCCATACCACCAAAATTAGATATAAACGCAAGCTGACATGCAGCGTTCATGCTCCGCCACCAAGTTTGGATGTGAAAGAGGCGCACGAAATGTTCTCACGAGCGGTGAAGTCCTTCACCCTCGCCGTGTTAGCAGAAGGTCTGCAAATTGTGATGTTTGGACCTGCACAGACATCTGCTGAGTCAGATTTTGGGGGGGTTGTATAGATGGCTAATCCGTGTATGAACTGACTGGGCTCCTTTCAATGGATGCAAACCCCCCCTCTTTATGACACCCACTGTCATGCATGCCTTGGTCAGGAAAATAAAGCCTGAGGTGACTCGTGCATATGAAATCAAAATGGAAATGAGTTGTTTTGAGAAGTAGAGCAACACAACTTTGTCCCACTCGACTCCAAGAGCTCATAGTTCATTGTGCTTCGTATTGTAAACAAACGTCACAGTTTCTGTATTTGGAAACGGTATCACTGACTAAACCGATGCTTTACATTCCATTTAACCTCTCGTTGCTTAGACATACTTCAGCTGTGACCAAAGTCGATGATTACTGAAGTCACTATCATAGCAAGCATTCCTTCCCCCATAAAACAAGGTGAGAGGTTCCTGGAGTTTTAGATGACAAAAAAAAAGTTGATTTTGTGGGTTTATTAAGCATTTCTTTTAGGTGCTTTGTCTTTTATTATCATGTTACAGGTAATATTTATGTTTCCCCATGTTAACTACAGCTGTAAGTAAAAAGATACTGTATGGAAGTTAGTGAAAATGGAGATCTTAACAAGGAAAAACAAATGACAGATATTTAAACTTCCTCTCAGACAGACTACTGGTGTGCTGCATGAATTAAAATTAGTTGTATATACGTGTACAAGCTTATGCAATGGTTTTTCTGGTCTTGATTCTTCATTTGGAACAAAAACCAGTCCTAAATGAGGGATTTATATGGCATGCAAAGTTAAAAGCAAACAATAAACAATGCATCTAAGACCCGATTAAACAAAGATTTGACTACAGCGTGACTGGGTAACAGGTAAACAGCACTTTTGTAGCTGAATCAGTTTGCAAACATTTATAAGAGCAAAGAGGGAATGTGGTCCTTTTGTTGGGCGCCTGGGTGAAGGTATGCTGTCACACCGGAGCAGTTTCTACGAAACTAACTCACTGAGAAGTACAAGTAAAGTTAAAGTGGATAAATACAGACAGTTTGACGTTAACTGTACTTTTACTCACCTTTCGTCCAGTCAACAACCTGTTTCGGCGTCCACTTTGTTATCGGCTCCATGTCTTCTTCTTCGTTGGTTACAAAACAGACGGATGTAAGCGAACATGGGAGGACTCTGGCGACGAAATAAACTTTAACTTTCAACTAATTGCTGTTACCTGCTTTACAGCAGCTCGGAGCGTTTAGGTTGCTGGTGTTAGCCTCAATAAAGAACTGAAGAACCACGCTGAGAGCTGCTGGGGGGCTGAACGAACACCTCCCCACAACTCCTCCGTGAACCAGCAGGGAAGCGCGCTGCCTTCAGGGGCCGCCGGAAACAGTGGGAAAAGTCACAAGCGCAGCATTAACCAGTTACATGGCGTTAATTGATAAACATACATAATCTTATAGTTTATTGTATTTATTCTAATTTATTTTGTTTTTATTTAGATGTCATTTTAATTTTGATATAGGGTAATTTTAGAAGGATGTATTTTTTTTATATTAAAACTTTGAAACTAAAGCACAAAAACAGTATTGCTCAGGTTGTGCTGTTTTGTATGATTTTTTTTTTCTTATTTGCGTGTACTTATACAAGGATTTCCATTAAGTTTGGTTCAGGGTTCTGTGGGTTGAAAAATACTAAGCGTGGAGTCATGCTCTCCAGAAGTGAAATAAACTTTTAAATAAGCATTAAAACGCCACAAAAGACACAAAATAATTAATATAAATGGGTAAAGATGGATAATAGTTAATAAGATAAGTGCAAAAAAGGACAAGTAAAGAAAGACTTTTCTGGCGGTTTTGGCTTGTTGGAAATTCACTACTGCCACCTTGTGGTGAAAATAACGCAGCGACTCAGCTTTGTAGAAGCACATAATCATTTCAATTCACTTGTTTTCTCAATTATTAAAGCAGGACATAATGTGCTTAAAAGTTGTACAAGTCCAACTGAAGACTAGATTGGACAGCTTTACCAGGAAACCATCTGTTATATTTTATTTACTTCCAAATAAATCAAAAATAATAAGCAAGAAGAAAACATTTTTGTGGGTGTTTTGAGTGACAGCGACTACATATGAGATCAATTTGTGCATGCTGCAAAAAGTCAAACGTAATGCAACATTATGCAGGTGGCTACAGCCATCAACAGAAAACATAGATCACATTACGCTGATATATGTTTAATAAATTGACCAACAAGGGTTAAAGACAAGACTTTGTGGTGTAAAACCTGAAAGCTCCTTTACTGTATCTGAACTGCTGTATCATTTTAAAAGGTAGCTGCCTGTATTATGGGATTTTGGAAACTTGGTTCCCTTTTGAATTTTTCTTCCAAAGTCAAATCTTTTCTAAAGACAGTAATCTCGCTTGGCTACTTCATTGTTTTCTGACAGGTTGAAACACACCTTGTATAGGAGAAAGTCCCAGTCTTTCCCATCATTCCACCAGTATTACACCCTATAATCAGCTACAAATGCTGAACTATTATTACACTCTGGCATGCATCGATACACAATCAAAAGCATGCAGAAAATTTACGTACAACGTTTTCTGTTGTTGCCTCTTCGTTTTGCACAGACTTGCTACTTTTCTTTTGCATAAATACAAAATGATTAGTTGGCAGTTAGCAATACATTTTGAACTCCTATTTATTGATAAAAATGTTTGAAGTAAGTTCTTGTGAAAAAAATATCAGTAGAGCAAAAAAAAAAAAAAATAATACAAAAACAAGTCATACTCCTAATCTCTATTAAGATAAGATATGCAGTATTTTGTTTTGAATTGTTGCTAGGCGTTGCTGTTTGGAGCAGAAAGGGTCAAATCCTAATTTCACCTTTAAAGGGAGGGATCTGAAGGGAGCAGGATTTAGGAAGGACCCCCGCTCCTGCCCTAATAGGATTAAAAGAATCATGAGATCACTGCTGAAGTGAAGCAAAAGGAAGGAAAGAGGGCTTGGTCTCACAAGGGGAAAGGTTTGGCGGAAAGGGCGTGAAACAAGAAACTAGAATCAGTGTTGGCTTTTTCAGGTTGTAAAACAGATCAATTTATCATCGAGGAAATAACAACACACAGGCTACGACTTTATTCCCAGTTCTTGAAACACCATGTCACTCTATACTCTTTATTTTTTTGCATAAACATTTATTCACTCTTAAAATACATGAGTCCAGATTTGGCAGTGTGTATTTTTCTAGCATTTACATTAAATGCAGGCTTATAGAATCATATAAACAGAAGTGTGAGACATTTGCACAGGAAGTACTCCACTTCTCTACAGGATGGAAAGGCTTTAGAGATGTTGCTTCAGCAAAAATGAACCCTGCAAACAACCGGTTTTCTCTCTAAACACCGAACGGATTAGCAGTGATGGAGGAAATATCACAGAATTTGCAAATGAAGCAAGAATTATATCCACTCTCATGTGTGGACGGTCCTGCTGCATTGATCGAACAAAACAGATCTGAAGATCTGAATATTAACCCTATAAAATCATTGAAAAAGAAAAAAGATTTTACTTTCAAAATAAAAGTCTAAGTGACTTTGAGCGTAAATGTCCAATATAAAACATTCTCTGCAGTGGATGTTCATATGTTGAGTAGAGCTGAGTAAGCTGGACGTTTACAGTGTTTCAAGATACACTATAAAGAAGATAAGGAGGTTTTATGGGGCATTTTGAGGGTTTGTAGGGACGGTAGGTCTGGCATTGAGATATTCCAGAACAAAAACCTGAAGGATCTTGCTGAGGTTTCTGATTGTGGGACGATGCAGGTTTTCTTCGTCATCCTCAAACCTGTGCCATACGGATGGAAAACTAGCAGGGATGAGGTGGAGGATCCGAACACCTGGAGGAGAGGAAGAGATTGAAGGTTATCTAATGTCGGTAACGCTAAAAGTTCTATTGTAAACTGTGGATGTTATGTCACGTAATAATACAAACCTCTACTTTGGAACGGTACATGATCGTCTAAAACATGGCCTACAGAAACACCAGGCCAGAAATACTGCACGCTGTTAGGATGCTCCACAAGCTGGTTCATGGAGTGCAGGCGTTTCTCTGAGTTTATATATATATATAAAAAAAAAATTAAAAAAAAAGATGAAATGCACATCTGTTAGTTAACTGAAGAAAAAAAAAACATTAGACGTAGTATCCTGTAACCACGTCATCAGCTGCCATTCACTAGTTATATGTATATAAGCAAACAACCATTTTATGGCCATTATATATTACATTTAAACATTGCACAACTACTTTTAGGAGAAAATGTTGAATTACATTTACACAAATAAAAATAAAAGATCAATTATCTTCTTGACTGTTTAAAAACTGGTCCTTTAGCCCATCTTTGCATAAAAAGCAGAGGATTTTCAGTGTGCAACCATTTCAAAAGAGCAGTTTTCATTTCCAGAAAAGTATGTTTTGAGCATGCAAAGTGTATAACAGAACTAACAAAAGTGATGTGATAATGTTAGTTTATCTCTGATGATTACCAACACAATAATGTTTATTTTTGCATTTGTCTGTGTATTTGTGTGTTTGAGTTAGCAAAATATGTCCTGACCCACCGGATGGATTTTAATAAAACTACCAGAAATTAATGTATCTCTACAACTGATTACCTTTTGAAGTCAACCCAGTTTAAAATGGTTGCCACTGACTGCTATTATCAATACAATAATAAGAAAGTAATAATAATGCAATACAAAAATGGCTATGACTGGCTATAACCAATAATGTGTTAATGATTCATAGTTTCTGAGAGTTATTCACAACACGCGACATCTTGTAATATTTCAAGGTTTGTCCCAATTCTATTATTCCTCAACATATTATTTTCTCAGTCTAAAACGCCGACATGAAAGGCAATGCTAAGCCTTTAATTTACCGATGCTTTGCAGCCTGCTGAGCCACGGTTTTGTCTCTGGGAACTTGTTTCCAAAGAGAGGAGTAGGAGCCCCGATAAGATCCAACAACACAAACAGATCCTGTGGGGGAGAACGGACAGGGAGGAGTGAACGCTGCAAGAAAACTGTGTTTCTCATGAGAAAGTCTTTCTGCACACCCTGACGATAGCGCCCTGACACACGGCCCATCTTATAACAGTCACACCTCAGCAGTTACATTATCACTACAAGACAAACGAAACATGAACACACACATACAGCAAGACTCTGTCAGATTTATGTCTGTTTTTACACACCAGAAAAGCATAATTTATTGATTAATAGTTATTTTTCAGTAGCTAGTATGCGGAAAAATAAAAACCACTATTAATCAAAGCTGTATAATAAATCTAGTTAAAAAAAAAAACCTGCATTCCAAGCATTCCAGTTTGCATTATGATATTACTAGACGTTTAGTTTGGAGATCACAGTAAAGAAAACTACTGAAGTGATGTGGTCTGACATGAAAAGTGTTCCTGATTGGGATTAGATGATTGTGCAGAGAACATTTCAGTAAAGGATGAGGGGAAAGTCCTACTATGCCGTGCAGTTGGTTGGTGTCTGTGGCTCCTTCAGGGTGTGGAGTGGCCTGCATCTTCTCAGCTAGGTGGCGAGAGCCGTACAGGGAATCTGTGGAGGTCCACTGGAAAAGAGCCTCCTCTCCATCGAAGAAGATCAGCTGCAGGGTCAGGTTGGAGTTGGAGCTCTGCAGGAAGGAGAGAAAAAGAACTCCAATTTAGTCATTTTCAGTTCAGTAGATCTGCTGCCCCCTGGTGGTTGTGACGTTACAGTACAACAAAAACAAAAACAGCCAGAGATCTGAAACGTTCACCTCTTGGAAAACGTTGGATTGTACACCTGGATAATTGAGCATGGACTTTGTTGTTATTCACCTCTTGGTTTAGTTGTGAGAGTTGAGACAGCATTCACATTATTGTTTTCTATTTTTTATATACAGTATTCAGCTCAGCCATGAGATGCTGCACACTGTGCCGTTCAGGTTTTATAACTTTTTTTTTTTAAACTTTCCAAAATATTTACTTTTACTGGCAAATATTTCTACACAAAAATACATTGATATATATTTAATTCATGCAGAAACTTCAATATAAAAACAGCTTTAGTATACTTCACTTTTGTCATTTTATGCTTTTAGATTTTAGATTTGTGTCAAGAATATGTTGGACACCTGGCAGGGTCCAATGCTGACATGTTCCTGTTGTTAGTTTTCTACATTTGTCTTGGAATCTAGCTGTTTTTTGTTTTGTTACCTTTTCCTTTTAGCCATCCTATTTGTTAAAAAAAAAAAAAAACTAAAAAAAAACTGTAGTATGCTTTTTTACAACTGTTTTGTTGTTGCTGTTGTCCATTGTTGTCATCTTTCTTTGTTGAAATCAGGTCTCTCTTGTAAATGAGTCCTCGAGGCTCAATGGGATTTACCTGTATAAATAAAGGTTGATTGATTTAGCTACATTTCTGCTAATTTTAGATTTTAGCTACTTGTAGCCTACAGTTTCTTTTTTTCTTTTCTTTTCCCCTTGTCCTGTCTGGCATTGTGGCACTCAGAATTATTGTCTGAGTGTCAAGGTGAGGTTCAACAGATTTAATTTCACAAGCTGAGCATTATGGCTGGCCTTAATGTTCCACTTGATATATAAATAAAACTTTATTAAAATTGCTTTGGGTTTGTTTCAGATGTAATGGACACGGGTATGAAAAAACAAAGAAGAAATTTTTTTATCTACAGTTCTGCTAATTTTAGCTTTTAGCTACTTGCAGCGTACAGTTTCCATTTTTTACTTTAAATTTCTAGCTTGGCTTTTTATAGTTTAAGCTTTTAGTTTGCCTTTTGCAAATTATAGCTTTTATCCAATCTTCATCTTTAGCTTTTAGCTCTTGTTTTATTTTTGCTGTTTAGCTTTTTTGTTGTTGTTTTAACTAGTATTTGGCAACTTTTATCTAGCTTTGAAATAGCATTTCTCCTTTTTGGTTTCAGCTAGCATAGTTTTATGCTACTTTAGGCTTTTATATAGTGTTTAATAATTTTATCTTTTGGCTATTTTGAGTTAGCAATTTTCTACTTTTAGCTAACATTTTGATATTTTTGGCATTTAGAGTTTTGCAACTTTCAGGACCATTTCCTTTTAGTTAACATTTTGCTACTTTTAGATAGTAGTTTGCTGCTTTTTGCTTCAACAACGTAGTTTCAGCTTCTTTAGCAAATTTCAGCAAAGTCATTCAGCTCTCAGAATTCAAACAGCATTTCCCTCAAAAACATTTCTGTATTATGCTAATCTAAGACCTTCTGCATGATTTATCAGCTCCGGTGTTGATGATGAGCGATGTTTGTATTCGCTGCTGCCTCTTCCTGCAGTGACCTTTGTGACAGGCAGCGCTGTCCTCTGCAGATCTTTCTGTCTGTCAATAGTCGGGCGCCTGAGTGCAACCGGCAGCGAAACAGGAATCACATGAATGCTAATGATTTTCTTACTCATCAATACAATGTGGATGCACTATTTTTTTACTTAAAATATTAGTGAAAGCTGTAGTTTGCAGTTCAATAAAGGAATAATATGGGAATAATTTAATTGAAAGATAACACTACTATAACTAAGAATTGTGAATTTATAAGTATATTTAGCCTTGTCTAGTCAAAGCCTGGAATATGTGGGTCATAATGTGCTGAGAGATTAAAAATACATGAGAGTCTCACCTGTGTGCTGGGTGTTGTGTTCACTCATCACTATGAACATTAAGACAGGATATTCCCTATTAAACAGATAAATAGCACATTGATTTGCTGCTAAAAACAGTGTGTGCTAACATCTGATGTCCACATTGTCTGCTGGCCTTTAAAATTTAAACCGACGTTTTTATGAAGTGTTGTTAGACGCATCTTCAGATTACTGTAGGATGAAAAAGAAAGAAAAAGAAAAAGAATAGCGCAGAGGAACAAATAAAAAAGTGTTTTTTAAATGATATTTGTAAGTAATTAGAAAAAAAACACAAACATCTTAATGGAGTCATTTTTGTTATTTGCCTGTTTTGATTTTTTTTTTCTTCCCCTTGCAGGACTGATATAAATACAGTAGAGAACATTTAATTATTATATTAACATATTATTGTTTACTCTTTAAGCTTATAAATGAATAATAACTTGCGAGGAACTGTCTACATTTGTTTGTATTAAGCCGTTTTTGTGCCACATTTAAATAATTAAGCGTTTGTGCACGTCCTGGATAATATTCTACACTTTGTTGGATGGTTTGTCTTTTTTAAATTATGGAAAAACATATTTCATAGTACATACAGTGATGTGTTTTTGTCCATTTTTTATTATATTGCCAACAACCTGTTCAAAATTTCCTCCACAACTCGGGTAGAATCTGTGGCCTCCTCATTTCATACATATTAGTTACCTTCTGAGCTTTCAGTTCTTCATCCAGGGCTCGTGCCAGCTCCAACATCATGGCACAGGGCACAGCAGAGTCTGTAGCACCCAGGAACTCCTTCCCATGCCACTGAGGTGGGTAGTATTTGGAATCGTAGTGACAGGCCAGAACCAGGCGGCGCTTCGCTGATGGGTTCAGTGTGGCGATCAGGTTGGAGAACGGAAGTCGGCCGTAAGGTGTATCTGATTCAAATCTATCCGTTGTCACTTCCCAGCCTGCTCCGAGGGAACTAAAGGTGGTTTTTATATTCTGTGAGAACACACACATACAATTTTAATGACTCTTTTGGTTGATAAATTCCCATATCTCCATGTTGTCTTAGTTGTGACAGTCAAATATGCAAAAAGAAACAATTTAAAAGAATCAAACAGCAGTTTATTTTATTTTAGTGCAAAAAAATGACACAATTTATGGATAAAAAAGATTTGTGGTGAACTTACTTCCTGTACAGCCTGGTTGCCTGTAGACCCGGGGTACCTGACAACCAGCAGAGGCTTCAGAAACTTCTCCCACATCTCTTCGAGATCAGTGCGATTCAGAGCAGCCCTGATCTCATCATCTGTCAGTGTAACAGCTCTGTGACGGAGCTGGAGGCAGAAACACACAAAATATTAGAGGGACTCACATTTATGGAATAAACAGGGAATTTTAATGTCAACATTCCCAAAACTATGAATTTTCTGCAAACACGAGTGAACGCTTTGTGACGAATGCAGATGAAGCTGAAAATGAGTTATTAAAGTTAAAATGAGCAGAACAAAAGTTTAAAATGAACAAAGTAAATGCTGAAATGAACAAAACAGCAGCTAAAAGCTAAAACCAGAAAAATAGCAATTGAACATTTAAATCAGCAGCCAAGCTAAAATTCTCAGAAACAGTAACTGCAACTAAAATTAATATTCAAAATAAGCTAAAAGACCAAAAAAGAGCTTGCATAGCTCAAACGTATCAATGATTTACTTTGTATTTTAAAATGAGTTTAATTAAAAATTGAATGGAACAGATTTGTTTTTGTCCAAGTAAAACAGTTACAAACACCAAAATAACCTTTATGTCTTAAATGAACTGAACATTCATGCAAATGAATGATTAAAATAGCTAAAAGTATGCTGGGTTTGAGTCCAGAAATGAAATAATAAAAAAAAAAAAGAAAGTCGATAATGTATGTTGAGTCAGCAATATTAATAATAGTGCAATTAACTTGCACAATACTGTAACTCACTGGTTCCTCATGAATTACGGTACCAGAAACCACTGGACTAAGCAACAACATATTTTGGGATTTATGTTTCTTGACGTGTTAGATCTCAATATAGCAATTCGTAAAGTCGCTTACATATAAAAAATAATAATTTATTTATATTTTTTGTCCATCTTATCGTTAGATGAGCTGTTTGAAACATCTGAAGAGCCAGTTAGAGCTGTGTGACTCTGAGTGAGCAGCTTTGAATATGAATAAGGGCTTATTTAGTAAAACAAGGATCTAATGAACGTATAGAATAAAAAAAAAAAAGGTTTGCAATGTACTCTCGCTTCAAGCCTGAATATAAAAAAGAAAATGTGCTTGTTTGTGCTGTAAACTGAGCAAATACTGAACAAGAGTGTTCTTTTAAAAATAAAAAAAACATATTGATCCTTCAGTTTCATGAATGTTTTTCGTTTGGTCCCAAAGTTCACCTGCTGAGGAGCCCGGCTGTCATGGTAACAACGAGAGAGAGTTAAAAAAAAAAAAGGAACCAGACAATAAACAGCAGGGATGAATCAACACCACTGTTTCTGCTGCTATCAAATTCAGCCTTAAAAACCAACAACAACAAAACAATTGTTTCATGCAAATATTAATTGAATTGTCTGAAAAGACTATCACAAATGATAAATAATCTCAAAACTGCTAATTTTTTAGTTTTTTTTTAAAATGCAAATGGCAAAATTTCAGTTCAGCACAAGTAATGGAAGACTTACGAGTAAATATTCTTCAAGGAAACCTTTCTGTTTATTTCCTTGCCCGCCGAATAGAATTTGAGCACATTTCTTTCTCATTGACAATGACTTGCAAAACCGGTTCTAGTCTTAAACTGGGCCCACAGTCACACATCTGTGCTGTAATTGTGGCAAACAGTGTAGGGCTATACTTATGTGGTCAGTGTCTGAACATATGAAGCTCTGTGAGCTCAGAGAGGGTTAAAGGCAGGCCTATAAATACAAACCCACAATTGGAAGATCAAGGATGATGCCTGTGGTGCCATAGCAACCAGTTCAATGGGGAGCAGAACAACATTAAAGGAAATAAAGGACTTTTTTTATATATGCTCTGCAATGGACCCATGTGGCTGTATAAAATCATTTTACAATTACTTGTGGACATTTTAACTGATAGACTTGTTTATCATAATCAGTAAAGGCAAATTCAAAAATGCACTAATTGCCGCACAGCCTCACGTGATCAGAACGGTTTAATTGATGTACCTTTTCCTTCGTCCATGGGATTCCATGAGTGTGGAAGATGAATGCCACCCCAATTATCAGATAGTATGAAGAAGGCATTATGAAAAGACAGCGGCTTCTCTCACACACCGATGTTGCTGCTCCTTTTGCACATTCCTCAGCCTCTCCTCCGAGGGAGCTTTCAGATCATGTGAACAGCAGGAAGGAGGGCGCGAGACTCTCAGCACCACGTCACTGTAGTCCTCTGTTGTGTGGTCTTTAGTGTGTGAGAGGCTATTTGTTTGCACTTTCAGCACACTAGTAGGTCGAAAGAGTTAAAAAAAAAAAAGAAACCATATAAAGTGTATGAATGTTAAAACCCCCACAAAATACTGGATAATAGCTGTTATTAGGAAATAACTAGTAGAACGACTTGATTTTATTTTAAAATATATTTCACTTAAATAAACTGAACGAATATTATTTTGAATTAAATGAATTCTTCAAAAATATCTATGTTTATGTCCTCTCTTATTTTGAAAAGTCACGCTTTTTTACGTCGCGTATCACGTGACACACTCCGGAAGTTTTTATCAAGCGCATCACATTTCAACAACACGGTTGCTTCCAAAGCACGTTTGTAGAGTATAATTTGTAGCGTCTTGTGTTATTTTTTATTTTATACATTTTTTTTGTGTTGATTTTTGAAGTTATGGCCCAGGAAGTGTGCAGCTTAAAGGCTCAGCTGGAGGAGAAAGAAAAAGAGATTTCTGTTTTGAAGAAGAAGTTGGCACAGCTGGAAATGAAGGTACGAATATGTTCGTGAAAATTATTTAAGTTAGTCAGTTTCACCACCAAAAACACTGTCTTGAATATGACATATAATACTTTAATTCTGCTTTCTTAAATCTGTTTCACGAGTGAGCTAATGCTAATTGTTTCCCTGACATTTTTAAGGGTACAGTACTTTTCCAGATTTGACATGTAATTTTGAAACGTGGGTCTGCACTCAGTGTAAACAAAGCATTATTTTTTTTAATCTTGCATTGTTTACTTAACAAATCTGAGTGTTAAAATATACCAAAACATCAAAGTTGTTGAACTTCTTAATCCCAAACAGCTCTTCCAGGAACAATGTTGACTTGTTTTCTGTCACCTTGCCTGTTTTTGTATGTAAACAAACACACATGGTATTTGGCAGACACATTTTGCTTACACATGTATAAATAAAAGCCACATTAACCACTATGAGAAAACAAAATATTTTATTTTAGTGTTTTGACCATTTTTATGACATTACAACGAGTTTCTTTATTCAGGATCAGTTCATTGTTTGAAATCACGTTTAATATTTCAGTTAATATCTAAACTGGTTATCAACCCAATTCAAGATGGCTTCCACAGCCAACTGATCTTAGATGACACAAAATGGCTATAACTCAGCCAGTTTATCACATATTGAGCAAATGTTTGGTGTGGTAGTAACTGAGTATTTTCCCCCACAGGTACTTCAAGCACAACCCATTGTGCAACGTCTTTGCTTAAAACAATGGAATTAATTGTTGGAGTCGACCATTTTTGTTCGTAAAATTATGTTTTAAATTAATAATATGAATGACATACCTATGAAAGTCTTTTTATTATCAAAATCTCTTAAGGACAGAAGTTGAGATGTGTCCTGTGTAATAATATTCTGATTGTGTGAATTCAGGGTCATGGACCAGAACTGACGCTAAGTAACAAAGCAGAGCCACTCAGCCCGCTGACAGCTAAACCAAGGCTCAGCAACGAGGACATCATGCGGTACAGCAGGCAGCTCCTTCTGCCTGAGCTCGGTGTTAAAGGTAGGTACAGACACATACAGACTGATCAGTGCAGCAAGCATTGCCAGGTGAAGTTTGTGTGTGAGTAAACCCAGCAGGTGGGATCCTGGTTTTTCACAGGTCAGCTGAATTTATGCAAGACATCAGTGCTGATTGTGGGCTGTGGTGGACTAGGTTGTCCTCTGGCCCAGTATCTGGCAGCAGCAGGCATTGGTAGGTAATGTTGCACAAAACATAACCCATAGAAAAGTTTGTCATTGCCTTGCTTTGATTGACCTTACATGATAATTAGGAATGCGTGATATTATCAGCATGGTATCCGTATTGGCCAATATTAACGATAAAGTTAAATATCAGACATCGGCCATTCCATCAAAATAACTCACCGATATATTTTTATACACATTGTATATTTATATAGTGTTACATCATTTTCAGCCCCCTTTTTTGGCATTTGTATTTGGTAGCAGGCCAAGCTGACAAAGGCCATGCAAAATAATGTAGTAATTTAATTCCATAGCAGAGAAAGCTATGTAGTCTCTGTAAGTATGTGTAGGAAAAAAAAAATCCGTATTTTTTATAAATCATCGGCCAAATAAATTTTAACATATCGGCATATCGGATACCGTCCAAAAATTTAATATCATGCATCTCTAATAATAATATACACTAGATGTCTTTTTTTTTTTTTTCACAATTAGCATCCAGGATAAACAAACTGACTGGATCAGGCAAAAAATTTAGACTCAGCTGTTCAGTCGAGTTTGGAAAACTTGAATGATGGACTGAGAAGATTTGCTTTATAATTGTTTATTTAGATGCTTTATAAGTAAACGTAATGTCAAGTTATGTTGGTACATTCAAACCACTTTAAATGTATTGGTTGTGTTGTAAATATGTGTAGCATACAAATGGATTAACACCCAAACAGAATTTGAACATTTATCAAACTGTACCCCGCAGGGCGCCTCGGCCTGTTAGACTACGACGAAGTGGAGCTCAGTAACCTGCACAGGCAGGTGCTTCATGGGGAGGAGGACCAGGGCCAGGTCAAGGCTCTGTCTGCTGCTGGTTCAGTTAAAAGGTACAGACTGATTATGTTTATAAGGATTTTATAAAGTTTTTTTAAATAGTTTTTTTTTTAAAAATATGTTATATTGCCACATTTTCTTCTGTTTAAACAAGCCAAAGAACTGAAACAGTGAAGTTCAGTGTTTTGATATTAGCGGAAAAAAACGGTCATGAACCATGTTTATGTTTTTATCCTTTCTGTCTCTCTGTGGTTACTTTCTAATGTTTGTTAGCTTTTTACCATCTCACCACAGGTTATATATGGTTCTACATTTCTCGTCAGTCCACAAATTGTGCAAACATGTTATTTTATAGGCAGATGTTTTGGGGCTTTTCCATCGAACAGTGAACCTTCTGTGTTCTGCACTCTTGTTGCAGAGCTGCAGCCACATGAGGGCATCATTTCTTCCAGTAACAAAAAACTTTTCATGTTTTGATACTTCGTCAGTACACATAAATTACAATAATAATAATTTGGGAGTGCTGGGATATATTGTACATTTTTTTTAAGTATTTATCATTTACTTTCAAAGATTTTACAGGTCGAGAGAATCAAATTGTTGTTTGTTCTTGATGTAACCAAACTACAATTATGGATTTTGTTTGTGTTTTTGTGTTTGTTTGTGTGTGTTTTTTTTTTTAATTCATGCAAGGAAGACAACTTTAAATAATATACTTGTTTCATGTTTGCAGGCTAAATTCTTCTGTAGAGTGTATTCCTTACCACCTGCAGCTCACGCCGGAAAACGCCTTGCAGCTCATTCAGCAGTATCCTCAGGCTGCAGCTGTTATCTGCCAATGACTCAAAATATGTCATAAATATATTGTGTATTTAAAACACAATTGTTTTTTTCCAAACATATAACTAGTCATTCTGCGCTAGAATAATTTTCGAAGGACTTTGTAAATATTTTGTGATACTGATCCGATATAAATGTTTACGAGGCCTCCTTGACTTCCCTGACCTCATGTACGACATCGTGGCTGATTGTTCAGACAACGTCCCCACTCGTTACCTGGTGAACGACGCTTGTGTGATCAGCGGCAAACCTCTTGTGTCAGCGAGTGCCTTGCGAATGGAGGGGCAGGTAAGATTGAAAGCAGTCCTCTTTCTCCATCAATTCATACATCCTCTTTAATTTAGCAGTGTTATTTGTTCTTTGTGCAGCTGACAGTGTATAACTACAAAGGAGGCCCCTGCTACAGATGTCTATACCCGGTTCCCCCACCCCCAGAGACTGTAACTAACTGTTCTGATGGAGGAGTGTTAGGAGTAGGTGAGTTTTGTCCTCCTCCTACATTTTTCTATGAAAACAACACTCGTTTTGTAACATTTTCCACTTTGATTCAAGTTCCAGGTATAATGGGCAGCTTCCAAGCTCTAGAGGTTCTTAAAATTGCCTCGGGGCAAGGCTGTATCCTTTATTTTTCCGTCCCTCACTCCAACTTGTTAAAACCCCCTTTGCCATTTTGTTTCTTTGTTTTGATTTCTTTTGCCAAGTCATTGTGATATATCAACAGTAAAATGCTGGAATAGATTTTATTGTATCAAAAGTTTTGTGCTTGTCTGATAAGACGAACAGAAATATTGCATTTTTTTAAAACTCTTTTCCATTGTCTTCAGAAACGGCTGCGGTTTCTTTGTTCTGTCACTAATATTCAGACTCATAGTAGAGAACAAACATTCCTTATCCTGACTTTTGCGTTGTATTATAATACAAATGCTAACATCTGGTCACGTTGTATCATTCAGGGAAATTCACTGCTTTTCTCTACCAAAACTCCCAAATGTTGCCATACTAATTGAACCAGTGGGAAACCTGTTGGGCAATTCTGTGAATCTTTTTCGCCACCTTTTCCTTGACTGTCTATCCCAGCTTCCTGCAGTCAGCACCTGCTGATGTTTGACGCTCAGGATCTCAGATTCAGATCCATCAGGCTACGGCCCAAACAGGCTGGCTGTGCGGTGTGTGGAGAAAATCCCAGCGTGACCCGGCTAATAGACTATGAGGCTTTCTGTGGGTCTGCTGCCACAGATAAGGTTGGTGAAAAAAGGAAGCTTATTATTTGTCATTTTCACTCCCATTATTTCATGTTGAAGTGGAGCACTTGCCATATAAAATGTTGTCTTTTTGTGTTTGAAACTGCATGCGTTTGTCTTGTGCTCGTTTTGCAGTGTCGAAAGCTTAACCTCCTGTCCAGTGATCAGAGGATCACCGTCCAGGTACAGCACAGTGAGTTACACATTTCTGAACAGCTAGTCATTGCGTGACTCCCTGTATTTAGTGGCGTTTATTCTACGATTACTCACAATTTTCTCAGTTTTTAGGCGCATTCGTAAACTGATTACATCTCAGTGTCGACCCAGCCTCAAATGGGAAATGACTTAAAATGTGCCTGTAGATTTTCTATGAGAAAGAATAACATGTTCCTTTTGGCACCGAGAGCAGCGCTGGTGGATTGCATCTGTTTATATTTCTGCAGAATTGGTGTTTTAAACCTGCTGAGTTATTAAGCATAGAGGTGTGAATCATGATCGATAACAAGAGCAGTCACAATTTTGCAAGGGGGGCTCCACTTTAGAAAACTGTTTTGCTTCCTGTGATTTAAAGGAAAAGCTGTTAAAATGAAAGCAGACATTTTGGTTTCCTTATTTAACTAAATCAGCATCTTTAACCAAAAATATTAACTATAGCTCTCTTTTAACAAAGCAAATGATAGTGTGGAAGCATTAGTTAATGTTTTTTTATTATAACTCCAGGAATATAAATCCGTCGTGGACGACTCTTCACCACATATCTTACTGGATGTTCGCCCTCTTGTGGAAGTGGAGATATGCCACTTGCCCTTCTCTCTCAGTATCCTTTTTGCCATTTAAGGAGACAGTAATGCTCATTGTTTGTTAAAAACATATTCAGTTTCCTATTTCTGTGTAACTGCTGTCCTTATATTGCTGCCAGATATCCCCCTCTCCAGTTTAGAAGATAGAAAGAGTGAAGATATCCAGTTACTCCAGGAGAGAATCAGCCAGCTGAAACAGCAGATGGCAGGTGACAGCCAGCCAGCAGGTACGACACCGTTTATGATCTGCGTCTCTTGTTAGAAACAAACAGCCATGTTGAGTCACTTGTACATATTCATCCTCTGTGTGGTCTCACGCTGCAGGAACAGAGGCTCAGTTTGGTCAGGCTCTAATGGGGTTGCTAGGTGACCCCTTTTTCCAAAGCAAGTACTGAGTAGCTGGTCTGCTTTAACGAAATTAATATTCAAAATGTTATTTTGGTTCTGCTTAATTTAGCACTGTGGTGCTGCAGACTCCACTTGCTGACATTAAATGTAATTTATTAAACAGGTTATTTTCCTTTGCAGTGTAATTGACTTTAAAAAAAAATCTTCGAAACGTTGGTGTCACCAGCTTTCTTTCTCGTTTCTCTGTGGTTTCTTCCAGTTTATGTGCTTTGTAAGCAAGGTAACGACTCTCAGAAGGCGGTGCAGGTTCTGGAGAAGATGAGCGGATCAGAGGTGGACACAGTCTCAGTCAAAGACATCTGCGGAGGACTCGTGGCTTGGGCAATGAAAATAGATCCAACATTTCCACAGTACTGAAGCGTTTTAAATCTTTTTCTGCTAATAAACGGCACAGAGACTTTCAACATTTTTTATGTGTTCGCACTGATCATTTCACTTAAACTGTCTTTTATGTCATGACTGGATTGCACCATCTTTCATACAAAGAATAACTAAAGGACAAGTTCCTAAAAAATTGTTTTGTAATCTGCTGTTGGGTTTGCAGCTGGATAACACATAAGTGCAAAAAAAATCAGATCTCCTTTCCTGTTTTTATGTTCATTTGTACAGAATGAATTCCTGGTTTGGCAGGTTATGTGGCATATAATCAAACCTAGATTGCATTATTTTTTATAGAATATAATATTCTTTATTGTCTTGTAACTATTGCATAATGCAACGTGATTAGGTTTGCACCTCCAACAGGAATATGCAATATTGAGGTTCTAAGTAATATTTTTTTTTTTTTATATATAAAAACTAGCTATAAAAGATCTTAAGAAGAACTTGCAGGGAAAAAGTGCAACAAAGTGAAAATGACCTGAAACTTGAGCACTATTTTAGGATATTGATAACATCAACTGTCCCAGTCAAGATTATATTCTTACTGGTCAAATATGACATCTAAAATGCCTTTCCTAATACAGTAATATTTAGTAATAATGCAGTAATATTTACTTATTGAGTTTATTACCATTGGCATAAGTGAGATAAACTAAAATTAAGATATCTAAGAATACTTAAAATGTTTTAAATTGCCATTTTAACATTCAAGAACTGTTTTGCATATGCACATTTGTTTGACATAGCACAAATGTTCTTGTGGTTATTTAGAATAAATGTGAATGCTATGTGCAAAGATATTTTTGGATAACTATGGAAAACTTATGAGATGTAAAAAAAGGTAAATTTAAGTTATGGCTAGTAACAGCTATATTTTAGATACCTAAAATGTATTATACATATTTATAAATACATTGCTGCAAGTCATTATTCTGATTTATTGGTGTTTGACACAGTTTTTTTTTAATATAATTTAAACAATTTGTAATTTGAACTCTGGATATCCCCCAATGGCTCAATTGGTCTCTGAATTTTAGAAATAAATTTTGGACAAGCATGCATGTGGATATCTTAAGGCAAATACCCAAAATACAAATAAGAAAAATGACGCCATTTGTTTGAGAAATAATTATGTTTAAGATGTTTGACATGTTGAGTTAATTGTTGAAACATTAATTCTTACTGGGAATGTTTTTGCTTTGACGAACTTGTGTAACAATTATATGACACGGCTTGTCATATGTGATGTCATTCCCGCAGTAATTATTTTTCCAATTAAGAGTTTCGCAGTTTTCCAGAACTTTTATTTTGTTTGTTTGTATTTTTTGCACAGTTCTAACCAATAAAATACTCATAAAACGGACATATTTAAGTTTATGAATGTAAAACGAAAATAATTCGTTTTTTTGGGAGCAATCTCGATTCATAAACCGATCCGGGTCATGTGGATTTTTTTTTTTTTTCTGGCGGGGCCAAGTTAATGAAACGGAAAAGGAACGCGCATGCGCACTAGCTGGAACCCGCCTACCCTTTCCGAATTGTAGTTCAAGTTTTCCTGCCAGTCCACTCATTCGGAGGTAATAAAAACTCCAAACCCCAGCGAGGACTGCGTCTCTCACTTTTTCTCCTCCTCCTTTGTCAAACGGGGGGAGTAGTCACAGCTGGAAGGATAATAAGATGCGCATGAACTTACAAACTAGAATAAAAAGATAAAAGAAAATAATTGGAGCGCCATGTTTTTTCTGAGTAAGTCAATAACTTTAGTTGGCGTTTGCCAAATATAGGCGACGACGCTACGCACTTTTTGCGTGTGACTTTGTAAGCAAGAGGCGGGGAGAAGAACCGCAGAGGAGCAAACTTCAGGCTTCCTTCATTTGATGGAGTTGAAAAGTTTCATCTTCACTTGCCTCACAATGGAAAGAGAAGCGCCCTTCGCTGGGAGTGAAGGTAAATGATCGCTTCAGGAGCGGGTTCTTGTCGACGTTCGGCTCTGAAACTGGACTTGAACCGGAGATGGGTCGGCTTCAACAAAGAGCTCCCAGAAAGTGCCGTTTCGGGGCTTGTATAACTTGTTTGTATGGCATTCTCTCCACTCGAGTCCTGCCAGAAAGCCAATCGAAAGTGGGAGGGGTGCAGATGTTCAAACGCCTTGGTTCCAGATGTTTGTGGAGTTGTTCAATGAGTCTCTGTGAACTGCTGACTGATCAAAGCTGCAGTGCTCAAACCATTAAAACAGCTTGATCAAAGGGTTAATTACAGGTGAAGCAACTTTATATGTAAGAAGTGGCTCATTTGGCATCACGAGAAAGTTTAAACCACTGAAACATCTCTTAGACGTTTTGCTTCTTGTTTTTTTTTTAAGAACACTAGAAAAATCTCAGAAAGCTGCTGAGGAAATTTGAAGAATACATTGAAATAAGGGAACCTTTATGAACTGTTTATTAATGCTTTACAAATAGGTTATAAGTTTGTAAAGGTCTTATAAAGAATGGTTTATAAATCAGCTTGAAATCACTGTTCTTACACTAAAGTGGACTCAGTTTTTATTTATTCATGTTTTTTTTTCTTCTGCAAGTTGATCAACTGACATTTTTTTCTCTTATTTATTTATTTATTTATTTATTTATTTTTTGACATATTACTGCTTGTTAATGCATTTTTGTTACAAATAATTGCTTATTTTTGTTTACAGCTTGATTGTCAACTACCTTGTTAATGCTTATTACCCATTTATAAGGCACCTTTACTGTAGTGGCATCGAAATTTTAAACTGAGGTGTTAAAGTTGAAACCATACGGTGACCGTAAAACCAGCAGAACAGAAGCTAAAATCCACAAAACAATAGCTTAAAGCTAACATAAGTAAAATACAAGCTTAAAGCTAAATGTAGTGTAATCATAGCTAAAAGACAAAGTTAGCAAAATAGTAGCACGATGTAAAAAGGAATCTAAACAGTAACTAAAAACCTTAATTAGCAAAACTAGCTAAAGTCAGCAAGACAGTTGCTAAATGCTAAAATTAGCTAAACTAGCTAGAAGTGCAGTGTAGCATAAAAGTAGCTGAACTAGCTTAAAGTTAAATGTAGCTAATTGGTAGCTAAAAGGAGCACAAGAAGACCTAAATGGTGCAAGCATGGGGAATTTTTTTGTAATAAAAAATAAAATGAATTCAAAAGTATAAAAGTTACAAATATTAAAAGCCATAGCACGCTATTCCCCTTTTAACCAAACGTTCTGATGAGAAATAGTAATAATTTGAATATGAGAATACCGTAATTTGATCGCAATAACAGGAAACTTAACATGTAAGCAGTTGTGCAAATGCTGAATCAGCATTATTTAAAGAACGTCTACAAGAACCAAAGCAGTCACTGTTTTTACCTGCTTTATAGTATCAGAATAATAGCGTTTATGTGTCTGTGTTTGTTTGTTTGTGGAGACAGGTTTCCTGTGGTCGGAGTGGATTACTGACTTCAGCAAAGAGAAAGAGCAAAACTCCAGGATATGAATTTTGCTGCGGTGACTTTCCTGCAGAAATCTTTGGACGATTTCTCCATCACATGCCCATCCAGTTAATAATGCATGTGTTGTTTGAGCTCAGGTGGGTGGGTAGGATCAAAAATATAAACAAAGAATCCGAACTCACTCGCTACAACTGATGAGGAGCAGATATTTGCCACACGACAAGTCGATCTGCAGAGACCGAACGGTGCTGTTCTCTGACAGCCTTCACTGAATCTGCCACTATTCAGCCTCTCACGTTGGAACTGGAAGAAACCTCAATGTCTGCCTCCTCTCCCCCATCCTTACCCCGAGGCTTCCTCCACTCTCTCCATCCACATCTCCCGCCCTTGCCTAGCCCGCCCAGCCAGATCTACCAGCGACTGTCCAACGGCAGCCCCAGCGCCCCTAGCCCCACCAACTCCCGCAGCTCCTTCCATGGCGTGTCCTTCCTGCTGCAGATTGGACTGACCAGAGAGACGGTGAACCTGGAGGCCACTGACCTCTCACTGTCTGCTGTCAAGGACTTGGTGTGTTCTATAGTTGATCAAAAGGTAAGAACATCATCAAAACCCACTCTGCTTTCACTTTTTAAGGTCATCAATAAATCCTACACTTTCTCTCTGATCTCTTCTGAGGTGTAACGTCAGAAAAACTCACTTTGTTTTGAAACTAGGGTGACATTATCAAAGGTTGTAGAGCACCAACCTAATGAGGCACCATGTGCTTTGCTGACTCCTGCCATATTCATCTGTTGAGGTTTTGTTTTTCCAAAGCGGACATCTGGGCCATGTTCCTCGAAATGAGTCAAACGCGGCAGAAACGTGCGGACGATTGTGTCGGTGCTCCTCTAGTTACACGGCGCAACGTACCCGCGACAGTTGTTTACATCGTGGTGTAATGTTACTTGACATGAAACAAGTGCACAAACATACACAGGCCCATGCTGTGGCTATGTGTTCTTGTTGCAGTATTTTCCATGACAATAATGCTGGAATAACACTGGAGCTCAAGAAGTGGGTTGAAACGGAACTATAAGCTGCATTAGTAAAAGTCAAGTTTCTGTTTTATGCTAGATTTTTAGAGATTAAGTTTCTCAACACACGCACGGTTGGTGTTGATGTGCATTTTTATAGTGTGCAAAATAAAATTGGTTTAAGCCATTAAAACTAAAACTACTTCAAACAACAAGCTGTGCAAAACCATAAAGCCACAAATGTTTTAAGCTATTTAAACGACAAACACATTATGAATTTTATTACAAATGCCAAATTACTATTTTGCTTTTCCTGAAAAATACAAAAAAAAAAACCTATATTTTAATAATCTCATAACAGCTGTTTTAAACTCTTTCATGGTCTCACCTGTATTTTTTTGAGTGGAAGACTTTTCTGCATTGGATTAATTATGTGCAAAAGCCTGGTAAATAATGAAATGGCTTGTCTGCGCTTCCACTTTTGCAATTTTTTTTAATCCTCCTGAGGTCTAATGTTGATTACTCTATTTGCGTCTGTAATTATCATTAATTGAGTAAAGAAGAGCGTGATTAAACAAAGCAATTCCATCAACGAGAGGAATCTGAACATTAAGGGAGGCCAGAGCATTAGTGATGTTTGAGATTATGAATCTTATCTTAAACAGAGCAACAATTAGAGGATGTTGAATTTGCCATCTGTACTGAGTTTGTGTCTTTTGCCTCCAATGTTTTCTGAGTTGACATTCCAGAGGAGCTGGGTAATGTTTTTGCTTTTTACGAGGTCTGCTGATTCTCACTAGCTAGTTATAAGAAGTTCTGGCCTGCAAAGCAGAAAATCTAATCTGAACAGACATGTAGATAGATACTGTAACATATTGGAGCAGTTTCAAGAATCTGTAGCAGGAAAAGGGTATAGGAAATATGAAATTTTAAAGACAAATCTTGGAGAAAATCATTGCAGTGTACTCATAGGACAGGAGGTGATTATCTTTTATTTGTGTGTGTTTTTATTGCAAGGATGATATTAGATTTAGTTTAGCAAGAGCTATGTGCATAATAAATTATTGAAAATATGTTCATATTAATCTGCAGGACACAATCCCAAAAGAACTTATTCAGACTGTTTATTCACTTTATTGTAAATTTTGCCTATCAAGCAATGCCAAAAGTTTTGCGCTGCCTCAGCTATTTCATGAAACCCAGCCAAATGGCTTCGATATCAATGGAAAATATGACTGTATCCTCGCGTGTTTTCAATTCATCCCTGCTTTATTTCTTGTGTTAAAATATGCATGGAAGTAGGGAGTTTTTTGCAGACTCCGCTCATCTTTGCCAACTTTCCAGCTGTGGATCTCTGACCCTATAGCTAGACTGGCCACTTGTCCCAGGATGTTTCTAGTCAGCAGAACTTCAGGTGTCTGTCAGCAAAGCTCTAACAGGAAAGAGCTTTGGATTTCATCTGGTAATATCTGTACGGGGATAGACAAATGGATGAAAGTGTGTTTCCCCCTGTGGTGCTGTTTCTTCCTCTGAGAGCTGGCCTGCTTCACTCAATGACTCACCAGTCAGTCATGCAACAAGCTGGGATGCTAATTCCAACCTGAATCTGTACAGTCCAACGTTAGGTTTTCTGCTGTGTCATTTCTTGTGAACTTTAGTTGATTACCTGTAAGTCTTGTTCCCTTCTGATCATGGGGGTGTGAGTTAATGTGCCAGCAGAGCAATGCAGCAACCCAAATGTAATATTTTTCATCAGCTTCCTAGAGCTTTTATTATACTGTAGTCCAAGTTGCTGGGGGGCACCTGAAAACTGATCCCTCCTCCTCCTCACCAACTCCCCAAACGTGTACTGCCTCAGTTCTTGCTTTCCATTTCTGCAGAGTCAACAACTACTCGTGTCTAAGTTGGATCAGTATTGTTAGTTTTACAATAAATTCAAGGAGGCAGCTTGTATTTCAGCATATAAGAGTTTTTCTTTTGTAGGACTTCCAGATTTTCTGCTTCTGAAAACAGTGAACCAAAAAGTTTTTCACAAGACAAGAGTCAACAAGCTAAATTAAAGACCAAAGTTAAGTTGTGGTTCTATAGGTTACATTTGTTTTGGTCTTGGATGCTACCTTTCTGCTGACACCATGTTGTTCCCCCTAAGATTATACTTCACGACTGTAACATAATTTTTTTTAATCAAAGAAGAAAAATATTTTTGCTGTGGCGTTGATATCCCGGCAATCTGAAGTCACATTCTTTTGGTATCATCTAAAACTTGTGACCATAGCTTAAGGACAAAACTGCCTTTTCTCCTGAAGTGGGAGCTTTGCTTTTTTTTAAATATTGCTGTATCTTTATTGTTTTTCATTTTGGAGCTATTTCATCCATTGGGCTTGCAGCACCCACACTTTAGATGTTATATTGTGATAGAAAACAAACAAAAAGTTGTAATTTTTTCAACACATGTCAAATTTTAGTCCTTTTTTCCCCCATTAAATACAAATTTCAAATGCACTGTTGAAGTAATTGAACACCTGTAAGACTTCCAGAAACTTGTAAAGTCTTTGTAATGTGGGCTTTCATATTTTTTTGTCTTTAGTTTTGAATCAGTCTCATTGTTGAACAGGGAGTCATGCAGCTTGTTCTGTGTTGTATAGATTTTGTTGGGCTCATTCCGCTCCGTACTAAAAACTCAGCCCACATGACTTGGCCAGCATCCACAGAATAGATTTCCTTTCTCTGTTCACTGAGCTGATCTGAACTTGGTTTTGGTAGTAGTTGTTTGAGCCACAAAATCCCATTTTAGTGAGTTAGTCAGTTTTTGTACAGAGCAAACTGATCTTGATGGGTTCAGCTAACATCTTGCTCAGCAACTATTGCAATCAAAATTCCTGAAATTGTCTAAAATGTTTTTTTTTTAGTATCACCACTCAAAAGGTTGATTCCTAAAAAGAATGAGGGAGTCAGTCCTTGGGTGGTGAAGAATGATCTAATCCACAATGGCCTATTGACATCTCTTCTGCCGCTACACAAGTCTCTGAGCTGGTACAACCGTGTTTAACTAGCTGGGGTCTGACTTGTCTCTCTGGTTTTAGGGGGCTTGATGAGTGGTGCGAGATAAACATCCATAGCTTCCACTTGTTGAGTGTTTCCTGTTTGGTGTCGCCCAAGCACTCTGGTGCAGCCAGCAAGGGAGCAGTGACAGGACAAAAGTTCACAACTCTGAAAATGACTCCCAGTAAGCCAGCTGGTCTGCCTGGACAGCCAGCCAGCAACAGAACATTCCTCTTCACCAAGGCATTTTTGGAGGATGATGTGATGCTGCTCATGGGTGGGATCAGGCTGCAGGAAAAGTGAAACGTTTGCTGCGGTAGTATCAGGCATGTGAGAAATTTTGATTCGTGTTGTAGGGTCCAATCTTTGTTCAACATTTTTTATGCTATTATTCTGTTGTATTTACGATCTTTCGAAGGCAAAACGTAATTTTTTTGGCTATTTTTGATCTGGCAAAACCCTCTCTGCTGTAGAGAAAACACAGTATTTGAAGCATTTCATCAGGTCAAAGATCTCTATCATTTGAGATAATAAAAACTTGCAGGAAGACGGGAAAAATTCTTCAACGTCTGCCTGCAAAGTTACTTTCACGAATGCTTTTCTGCACTTGGCCTTAAGATGTTGCTGCATTTGCAGTTCAGTTGAAAGGGCTGTGAAATGCAGCTGCCTCAGCCACAGGTTTCCCCCCTGGTTTTGTCATTTCTGTTAACTCCCAGTCTCTGGTTGAGGGTTGTACAGCTGCCTCTGTAATTACTCAGACAAAAGCCTTTTTGAGTAAGAAAACGTTCAACACCAGTAAACGGCAAAATGCCATAAAAAAAATTAAGTGGTTCAAACATTCGAATAATGTGTAAAATTCAATGCAGCTTATGACAAAGAAAATATCCCATCATTCCTGTTTAAGATAACAATCTTGAGTTTGTCAGTTTTTGGCTTTTTACTAAACTCTTTTGTTTATCCAAAAGTTAGGATCTGCAATCTTGCATGAGATCTTATGTTGCACGTTACAAGGAGATTTAAGACAAGGACACAGAAAGAGAAATGTTCCAATAGAACACTGAGAGGCTGAAGTTCACATTGACCAGCTGAAGCAAACAGGAAATAAATCACCATCTTGCTCCCTTGTTTGCCTCAAGTCCACATCTGCATGTTCCTTTGGAGCTGGTGAGCATATTTCACCCCAGAAAGCATCCCAACAGAGAAAGATTTTATGTGCGATGTACATTTGGGCCAAAAGTTTCCTGGAAAGCACATTCGGCTTCTTGTAAGAAAAAATAACAGGTCACCAGTAAGACTAAATATTCACAATTTGGTTGTAAAACACATAGAAATGGTCATTTATATACTTTGTTTGTTTTATGTGTGTATTTACAGATTTACAGATTTATTCCAAAGCCAAAGCGTTGACTAAATTTATATGATAACGAGGATTGCTGCATATGCACAGCCTAAAGCCGTTTTTCACAAGGAATCTATCCGTTTTCCAAGGGTTGGAGTAATTTGTGGAAAAGGCAACGAGAGAAGAAAAAGGGGTAA